CACCCATGACCTCAGGAATGCACCGTCCACGGGCCTGTGTCCCCCAGACCTCCTGGCCCACGGCCACCGCTGGACACTCTGAGGACCATGCCTATGGCTGCTCGTCTGTAACCAGAATTCTGTCCTCTCCAGGCTTGGAAGAGGCGTCACAGACACTGACTTCGAGGAGAATTTGCTTATTTCCGGCTAAGAGATGGGGCTTCACCTGGGCCCCAGGAGCCCTAAATGGGCTTCCCACAGGGACTGGAGCCCTCAGCTGGGTGCTCTGATGGTGAGAAAGAAGGGCCTACAGTTCAGAGCCCCGAGTGTGAGCACGAGAAGCAGCCTGGAGGCCAGAGTGCAAACCATGGCCTCCACTCACTTCTCTGGGCCGTGAAGTCCATGGCTGGCATTCGGTGGCTCCTGGGTCCCTTCCGTGGCATCTAGGGGAGGGTGTGGGGCAGCAGAAGCCACAGAACGCTGAAGGAGAGTTTAGTACCTGCTAGGGCAGAAGTTGGCAGTTACTAAGAAAAAAGGGGCCAGGTTCTGACCCGTCCCGTCTGCCGTCCGACTGCAGCAGGGGTGGGGCGAGGAGTGTGTCTGCCCAGAGGCATAGACAGCGACCGCAGTGCCTCCTTCAGCTAGTTCCTGCAACGCCAGCCATCCTTCTGGGCAAGAATTGTGCCCGGCTCCCACATCCTGGAACGTGCTGCCTGCATCCTGCCGCCTGCCTGACCAGATGTTGGCGTGTACGGAGGGGCTTTTCCGAGATCCAGGGAACAGTGAGGAGAGGTGCGGGAGAGGAGACCCGGACGGGTAGGGGTGTCTCCAGTGCTGCCTGGCTCTGCAGAACCGAAACCAGCCTCTGGCTTCTCAAAGGACAGAAGAGCTGCCCACACCGGAGCAGGGATGCACGGCCTCTGCCACGAGGTCCCCCATGGGATGGTCCCCGGTTTCCGAATTCTCACCTGGGGACAGGGCAGTGGGTGGGCCGTGTCGTCTTGTTGGCTTTTTCCAGCTCTGGTTCTCTGTGGTTCCTGTGTGCCCCAGAGCCAGGCGTGGAGAGCGGAATGACGGTCACCCCCTACTCTGGAAGCCTGCGAGATAATCAGGATGTTCCAGAAGCATGAAGTGATAGCGGGCAGAGCGTAGGGGAGTTTCCAGGGGGTCGGTGTTTCGCAGGCTCTGAATGTGTGGGTGGTGAGCAGACTTTCTGGCCTGCCCTGGCTCCTACACCAGAACCCCCGTCCTCAGCGTCTACACTGGCGTGCCCACACTGTCCAGCTCGAGAAGTGCGTCCATGCGCACGGCCCCATCTGTGCTTCCTGGTGTCCCACGGACCGGCATCCTAGCCGCAGGGCCCCCGAGCTGTGCCCCCATGCCTTGCTGAGCCTCAGTTTTCTCAGAAGAGCATCCTGAGCGATAAATAACGTGGATGTGGACATGGCAGATGAGGCGGGTCCTGAGTGAGTGCTGGTCACGCAGCCCTGGGCCATTGGAGCCCAGGCCTTGTGTGCTTGCGGCAGCAGGGCATACCGCGGGCTGCACACAGAGCCCGCAGATCTGAGCAGTGGGCCTGCACTCAGGGGTGCTCACACACCAGCAGCTCCGTGCATGAGCATTGCGCCCAGTTCCTTGGAAGCCGTTCACTTGTGCCTCATGGAGCACAGAGCTTCTGCCACGTGGCAGCACGCTGGTGGCCACCAGTGACCATTAACGTCTTTCCAACGTACACACCTCGTCCGCATTCTTTTCAGGACGACAGAAAACTAGAGCCCCGTCCTGAGGAAGTTTCTCCAACGCTGTGTGTTGTTTTGTTGAGCTATTTAGAAGTAACCGCCCCCAGCTCGAAGTACTGCTGTGTGCTTCACCTGAAGATGGACGTTCCCATTCATGACCTTGGTAAACACCATTAAAAATTAACAGTTTCCTATTATGATCCAGTACCCAGTCTTTGGTCAGACTTCTCATGGTCCCAAAACTATTTTTATACTTTCTTTTTTTAAAGATTTTATTTATTTATTTGACAAAGAGAGACACAGCAAGAGAGGGAACGCAAGCAGGTGGGGTGGGAGAGGGAGAAGCAGGCTCCCCGCTGAGCAGGGAGCCCGATGCGGGGCTCGATCCCAGGATCCTGAGATCATGACCTGAGCCGAAGGCAGACGCTTTTTTTTATTTATTTGACACAGAGAGAGAGACAGCGAGAAAGGGAACACAATCAAGGGGAGTGGGAGAGGGAGAAGCAGGCCCCCCGCTGAGCAGGGAGCCTGATGTGGGGCTCGATCCCAGGACCCCGGGATCATGACCTGAGTTGAAGGCAGACGCTTAACTGACTGAGCCACCCAGGCGCCCCAAAGATTTTATTTATTTATTTGAGAGAGAGAATGAGAGAGAGAATGAGATAGAGCATGAGAGAGGGGAGGGTCAGAGGGAGAGGCAGACTCCCTGCCAAGCAGGGAGCCCGATGCGGAACTCGATCCCGGGACTCCAGGATCATGACCTGAGCCGAAGGCAGACGCTTAACGACTGAGCCACACAGGCGCCCCTTAGAGCTTTTTAAAACAAAACAAAACAGAATCCAGTCAAGGTATTTGCCTTTGGCTGTTTTTTCTTTTGGTCTTATTAAGTCAAGAACAATTTTTTTTCATGACATTGACTTTTTTTTAAGATTTATTTATTTATTTATTTGAGAGAGACAACACGCCAGGTGGGGAGGGGCAGAGGGAGACTTAGCAGACTCGGCGCTCAGCATGGAGCCCGACACGGGGCTCCATCTCAGCATCCTGAGGTCACCACCTGATGCAAAACCGAGAGTCGGAGGGTCGCTGACTGCGCCCCCAGGCGCCCCCATGACACAGGCCAGCCGGTTGTCCTGTGGAGTGTTAAGTGTGAAGCCTCGGTTAGGTCCATTCAGGTCAGTTTTGGCAGGATGACTTCGAAGGGGATGTCGTGTCTCCACATGGTGCCATTTTGGGAAGCAGATACCAGCTGGTGCCTCTGAGTGCTGTGGGTTTGGTCACTGCTCGGGGTGATCGCGGATCTCTGCGTTATCAAGGTTCATCCGGAGGCCATCCACCGGGCGGTGCTTGGCAGCGGGGACGTGTCCCCTCTTCCCTTCATGGTCGGCCCAGCCACTGATGATAAAGAAGATTGCAGGGCAGTGTGCTGCGAATGCCGTTAACACCTCCCGCACTGATGGGCCGGCGTTGTTCTGTAAGCCTAGACTATGCCATGCGTCCTGGACGCATGGGATCATTGTCATGCGGTGAGGAGCCCCTGCTGTACGGGACGGGGTCAGGTCTTGTGTGGACGGGCTGTGGCTGAGCCCTGCCCACAGCAGTCACACCGCCGGCCCCAAAGACAGCACGTGCCACCCCCCCAGCAGGGACAGAGACACACGGCCTCTGCTTTTCAGCTTGTAAGCTGCTCGGCAGAGTCACAGCCCACAGGGATCCCCAGCACCGGCCACTGTCCTCCTTGTGTTGGGACTGAGGGCTCGGGGTCCCGTGATTCCCTCAGCAGAGGGTTGCACGAGGCCATTCCTGGGATCGGTTACCACCCGGCTAACATCCTAGGCACTGTACTGTCTTCACGTCCCAGTTAAATCCTGTAATTCCTTCACGTGGGCCCTGTGCACACGTGACCCCTCTTCGGGTCCCACGCCTCCAAATCCACGCTGGTGCGTCCGGTCAGCAGTGCAGTGACCCCCACGTCTGTAGGGTTCTGCAGTTATAAAGCACGTTTGTCTGACTGCATCCACTGTCCGGGAGTAGACCCTGCTCCCTGTCGTCTCTGTCTGGGGTTCCTCTGCAGCTCCTTCCTGTCACTGCCAGGAAAGGGCCGCAAGGCCACCGGGCTCTCGGTGGCGGACCTCCCACGTCCACAGTCAGCAGCAGCACTGACTTGCCCGTGGCCCCTGTGCTCCCTTCCTGCCCCGGCCGCTGGCTGCCCTCCATGGGTCCCAGTTCCCACCCCGCGAGCACTGCCACCCCAGAGCCCGAGTCACTGCGGCTCCTTCAGCCTCAGGTCCTCTCTCGCTGCCACTGTGCATTTCCACTGTGCTCTGTCTGGGCTTGCAACTCTCGCCGGGTCCGGGAGCCAAGGGCTCTGGCTTCCTTCCTGGACCCCCCTCTGGATTCTCTGGCTCAACCCACTTAGCAAGCCCTGAAGGTAAGTATCACTGTCCCCATTTTATGACGGATAAACTGAGGCTCAGAGCACGTGAGAGGTTTCTGTGGTCACGCGGAACCAGGGCAGCCGTGCGGAGGCTCCTTGGACAGGCCATGGGCCAGGGCTGCTGAGGTCCCATGTGTGGTCTGTGCCGTGCTCACGCCGAGGGCCAGATCCGCAGCAGCAGGTCACAGGACGGCCCGCTGGGAGCCCCCCACACTGGTTTCCTTCCTGAGCGCTGATGGCACACTCGTCTGCGGGGAAAGGGAACGAGACCAAAACCACGGCACAGCCTGGGGGCACGTCTGTTCGGGGGCGCCAGGACTCAGACTGTCCGTGCTTCTGGAGTCTTGGCTAAGAACCCCGTGCCCTCAGTCCTGGCAACCCACGGCCTGGAGAAGCCTCTTGACTCTGGTGCCCTGCCCCCATGACCACTTGTGCGGCTTGTGCCCCCGCACCCCTGAGGGAGTGCCGTGTAGACACGGGAGGTGTGTGTGCGGTGACACATTTCCAGGTGTCTTCCTGTGTCGTAACAGGTGCCTCTGAGCAGCCTCCCAGCAGGTGGAAGGACGGGGCAGCACTGCTTCCCAGCAGCATGGTACCGGCTAGCGGTGCTGTGCTCCCCGCTCGCCCCGAGCACCCTCTCTGGGCCTCGGTTCCTGTCTGCACTCGCGCGGCCTTTCACTCGGACACCGAGCCTCGTAGGAGCGGAGGAGTGTCTGTTGCTTGACTGACTGGTTTCTGGAGCTGGTGGCCCTGTGTGTGTGGCCGCCTCTGCCCCTCCACTGGGCCTGCTCTTGACTCCGTGTCTGGTCTCCCAGGACGCGAAGCCCCCCTGAGCCAAGGACGCCATGGCCACGTCAGCCCCCCTGCGCAGCCTGGAGGAGGAGGTCACCTGCTCCATCTGCCTCGATTACCTGCGGGACCCCGTGACCATTGACTGTGGCCACGTCTTCTGCCGCAACTGCACCACCGACGTCCGCCCTGTGTCGGGGGGCCGCCCTGTCTGTCCCCTCTGCAAGAAGCCATTCAAGAAGGAGAACATCCGGCCCGTGTGGCAGCTGGCCAGCCTGGTGGAGAACATCGAGCGACTGAAGGTGGACAAGGGCAGGCAGCCAGGAGACGTGGCCCGGGAGCAGCCAGACACCAGGCTGTGTGAGCGGCACCGGGAGAAGCTGCATTACTACTGTGAGGACGACGGGAAGCTGCTGTGCGTCATGTGCCGCGAGTCCCGGGAGCACAGACCCCACACGGCCGTCCTTGTGGAGAAGGCCGCCCAGCCCCACAGGGTAAGCACGCCCCTCCCAGAGGCGAGGCCTGGTGCGGACCCCTTGGAAGGCTTCTGGCCGGCCCAGGGCTCAGCCTGAGTCCACCTGTCCCCATGGCTTCTCTCTCCACAGGAAAAAATCCTGAACCACCTGAGTACCCTAAGGAGAGACAGAGACAAAATTCAGGGCTTTCAGGCCAAGGGAGAAGCTGATATCCTGACTGCACTGGTAAGTGGGGCTGTTAAGAGAGAGCCTAAGGCAGTTGGCCACGTGGAGCAGAAGCTAGGAGGCTGAGCAGTGAAGGCTGAGTGGTGGAGCCACTGCCAGAAGGCTGAGCACTGGAGGCTGAGCGCTGGAGGCCCTGTTGGGAGGCTGAGTGGTGGAGGCTGAGCAGTGGAGGCTGAGTAGGGGAGGCCCTGCCGGGAGGCTGAGCAATAGAGACTAAGTGGGGGAGCCTGAGTAGTGGAGGCCCTGCCGGGAGGCTGAGTACACTAGAGGCTGAGCAGTGGAGGCTGAGTGGTGGAGCCACTGCCAGAAGGCTGAGCAGTGGAGGCTGAGCTCTGGAGGCCCTGTTGGGAGGCTGAATAATGGAGGCACGGCCAGGAGGCTGCGTAGTGGAGGCCCTACTGGGAGGCTGAGCAGTGGAGGCTGAGCTCTGGAAGCCCTGCCGGGAGGTTGAGCACTAGAGGCCCTGCCGGGAGGCTGAACAATAAAGGCTGAGCAGTGGAGGCTGAGTGGTGGAGCTACTGCCAGAAGGCTGAGCAGTGGAGGCTGAGCACTGGAGGCCCTGTTGGGAGGCTGAGTGGTGGAGGCTGAGTAGTGGAGGCACTGCCAGGAGGCTGCGCAGTGGAGGCCCTACTGGGAGGCTGAGCGGTGGAGGCCTGTTAGGAGGCTGAGCAGTGGAGGCCCTGCCGGGAGGCTGAGCACTACAGGCTGAGCGCTGGAGGCCCTGTTGGGAGGCTGAGTAGTAGAGGCACTGCCGGGAGGCTGAGCAGTGGAGGCCCTGCCAGGAGGCTGAGCACTGGAGGCCCTGTTGGGAGGCTGAGTAGTGGAGGCACTGCCGGGAGGCTGAGCAGTGGAGGCTGAGTAGTGGAGGCCCTGCTGGGAGGCTGAGCAATAGAAACTAAGTGGTGAAGGCTGAGTAGTGGAGGCCCTGCCGGGAGGCTGAGCAGTAAAGACTAAGTGGTGGAGGCTGAGCAGTAGAGGCCCTGCCGGGAGGATGAGCACTGAAGACCCTGGTGGGAGGCTGAGTGGTGGAAGCTGAGTAGTGGAGGCCCTGCCAGAAGGCTGAGCAGTGGAGGCTGAGTAGGGGAGGCCCTGCCGGGAGGCTGAGCAGTAAAGACTAAGTGATGGAGGCTGAGTAGTGGAGGCCCTGCCGGAAGGCTGAGCAGTGGAGGCTGAGTAGTGGAGCCACTGCCAGAAGGCTGAGCAGTGGGGGCTGAGCTCTGGAGGCCCTGTTGGGAGGCTGAGTAGTGGAGGCACTGCCAGGATGCTGCGCAGTGGAGGCCCTACTGGGAGGCTGAGCAGTGGAGGCTGAGCTCTGGAGGCCCTGCCGGGAGGCTGAGCAATAAAAGCCCTGCCGGGAGGCTGAACAATAAAGGCTGAGCAGTGGAGGCTGAGTGGTGGAGCCACTGCCAGAAGGCTGAGCAGTGGAGGCTGAGCACTGGAGGCCCTGTTGGGAGGCTGAGTGGTGGAGGCTGAGTAGTGGAGGCACTGCCAGGAGGCTGCGCAGTGGAGGCCCTACTGGGAGGCTGAGCGGTGGAGGCCTGTTAGGAGGCTGAACGGTGGAGGCCCTGTTGGGAGGCTGAGCAGTGGAGGCTGAGTGGTGGAGGCACTGCTGGGAGGCTGACTGGTGGAGGCCTGTTGGGAGGCTGAGCCCTGACGGTCTGAGCTGGGTGGCTTTGGGCTGGCTTCCTCATCTGGTATGTGAGTGGGTGTTCCTTCCCCTGTGTGAGTCACCGTGGCTGTGGGCCATGTCTAGCAGCAGCTGCTGTTGTGCTGGGGACCACCAGAGTGCAGGGGACCAAGTAGGTCCTGGCAAAGTCCTTCCTGTCAGCAAGGGGAGGGAGCCCAGACTCCTGATGGTGGGGGGGAGCCAGGGGCTTTGGGAGGGGGGCGCTGGCTGCAGGATGAGCACTGAGGGGGAGGCCTAGGAGGGCGTGAGGCGTCCTGGGGACACTGTCTGCTGAGTCCTGCAGCCAGGGCTGCCCGCGGTCGGGAAGCAGAGACTGCGCACTGCGTGCTTGATTCGAGATGGTGTGGGAGGGGCTGTGCCCGTTTCCTGCGGGAGAGTCTGTGTCAGGGAGAGGTTGGCCCAGGCAGGCGTGCTCTGAGGCCCCTTAGCACACGGATGGGGGTGGGAGCCGGCCTCCGCGGCACGCTGCAGGGGTTCTCCAGCGCGGGGCAGAGGCGTCACCCCCCGTCTCCTCTCCGCACTCCTGCAGAAAAAGCTCCAGGACCAGAGGCAGTACATCGTGGCTGAGTTTGAGCAGGCCCGCCAGTTCCTGCAGGAGCGTGAGCAGCACCTGCTGGACCAGCTGGCCAAGCTGGAGCAGGAACTGGCAGAGGGCCGTGAGAAGTACAAGAGCAGGGGCGTCGGGGAGCTGGCCCGGCTGGCGCTGCTCATCTCTGAGCTGGAGGCCAAGGCGCAGCAGCCAGCTGCAGAGCTCATGCAGGTGAGACGCCTCCCCAGGGCGGCGAGGTCTCCGTCCCACCACCCGTGTGCGTGCAGGACCCTGGGAGAACCACCGCCTCTCAGGCCTCGATTTTCTCTCCTGAAATGTCAGGAGGTCACCCCCACCCACCCCACCTCCTCCGAGGTCACATGAGCACAGGAGGACCTGACCGGCATGGTGTCCCTTCAGAAGGCAAACTTTCTACCAAAAAACAGTTTAAGGAATTTAGAAAGTGCTGTGAAGAGGCAAGGAAGGTTATGCGTATTTTCCTCACTACTGTCCGTCCTCATCTGGACCATCACGGGTCCCTGGCAGACAGCCTCCAGGGGAAGCTGCAAGTAGCCCACGCTGCTGGGGTGGCTGAGGGAGGGCCGCACGGTGGCTTCTCCCAAGGAGGGACTGGAGGAGACGGGTGAGGTTTTCTGTGGGACGGAGAGCAGGCAGGGTGCCTCTGGAGTACTTCCCGGAGGAGGCGGCTTTGATGCTGAGAAGGGGAGAGCCTTGAACTAGAGAGCAGGTCGCCAAGTGGAAACAGCACCGTGCCTCCTTCCTCCTGGAGCCTCCGGGAACAGGAACAGGGCTTGCCAGCGTCTGGAGCGGTGTGCTGGACCCTCCCCCTTGCGGGTCAGGAGGATGCTCTGGTGGCTGGGGCTGTCAGCAGTGGAGCCCCCCAGGATCTCCTCCAGGAAGACGCTGTCCCAGCCAGCAGTGTGGCCTCAGGAGACACAGCAAGGCAGGCTCTCCAGGTACATGAACAGGTGGCCTGGCCTGCTTCCCTGCCGCGGTCCATTCTGGCTCCCAAATCGGGACTGGCAGGGGGTGAGGGCCCTAAATCAGAAGTTGCTGAGGGCGCAGCCACAGGGCAGGGCAGGAGTCCCGCCCCAGCTCTGCTCCTGGGCCCCTGGTTCTTGTCCTTCATTTTGTCCAAAACGTGTCTCTGGCATTTCCTCCAGATGCCACTGTGTTCCCTTGAATTCCTCCATCAGACTGGGACTGGGTCACTTACTGCCCCCTCCCCTGCCCCCCCAGGGCGGGACAGCCCTCCTTTCCCTGTGGCCACCGCCACGTGATGTGCAGTTGTGTGGGGGGCAGAGAGAGACAAGCTGGGGTGGGGTGGGGGCTGAGATCCCGACGGGACCCCCTCCCGCTCCACCCAAGGGAGTGCAGCGCCACTCAGATGGAAGACAGACCTGAGCGTGGGGCGGGGACAGGGTGAGGGCACGAGGGTGGGGCGCAGGTGCAGGGCTGGGGCGAGGGCGCAGGGACGGGGCGTGGACGGCCCGAGGGCGCGGGCGCAGGGCGCAGGCCTGGAGACAGACGGTGGGTGTCTGCGGCAGCGGGTCCATGAACTCGGTGTCGGTACTGATAGGTTTTGTCTGCTCGTTTGGGTTTGATTTTGCGGCAAGGGAACCGCAGAGCTACCTCCTTCAGGTCATTATATTTCCCCAGAGGCTATCTGACTGTGGGCAGCCAGCAGGAGGGAAACCGCAGGAACAGAGGCCTGGATGTAAAGTGTGGTGCAGGGGGCAGGGGAGGGGGGTTAGAAAAGGAGAGAAAGATCTCTGGGCCAGGAATATCAGAAGACAGTAGAGGAACATACTCCGTGGTCCATCCCCGGACAGGCCTTGCCCAGGGGAACCGCAGCCGGCGCCTCTGTCTCTCCCACCGTTGGGCCAAGCTCAGCCATGGGGACCTGCGCGAGTGCCTCCGCCCTGCCCCGCCCCCCAGCCGTGGCCTCTGTGCTCTGATGACCTGTTTCGGGACACCCCCAGGAGTGTTGGGGGGTGTCCTCAGGAGCCCTGGGCCGGCCCCTTCCCAGTGCAGGCTCGTTCCCTGGACCCCCGGCCCCCCGCGCTGTGCTCTGGTAGAAGGGTTCCCACCCTGCTCTCCCACGGTCTCTGGGCCACTCCCAGCCCTTCACCCTTAGCTGGCCTGTACCTTCCCGCAGTCCTGGCAGCCCCTCCCTCCAGACTGCCCACGTGCCTGCCTTTCGAGCCCCGTGTCCCAGCACACCGGCGGGGGAATGCGGCTCATGTTTGTTGCCCCGTCCACCGAAGCTGGCTGGATTGGAAGGGTTTGCTGGAAACTCACGACTGGTGTCGGGCCGGTGCTGGGTGAGAGGGGGGTGAGCAGGGAGCTCTGAAGGCGCATCTGGCCTCCCCTGCGGCAAAGCCTGCCGGTCCTCCTGAGACCGTCGGACCTGCGTCAGCAGCCACCGGCCGGTGGCTCTGTGTCCCAGAGCTCCCTCTCCGAGAGGCTAGCCCATCCCCTCCCTGGGCTCCACTGCTACAAGAGCAGGACGCCTAGTGTCCCCTGCAAGGCTGTCCCCCGGCTCCACGGCCCCACCCCAAGCTCCGGAGCCGGGCCAGGTGCAGGAACGTGTGCGAGGAGCGACAGGAGGGCCACCGTTACGGGAGGGTCTCATGGAGGCTGCAGACCCCCACAGGCAGCGTCCCGGCCCACCTGCCCCTCCGCCCCGTGCTGCGCAGGGTGGCCCCGTGGCTGATTACCAGGACCCTGACTAGCTGCTGGGTCAAACCCAAGGACAGAGACGCAAAGACAATTTTGTTTCTTTCGGGAACAGAGCTGAGGGTTCTGGAGCCGTCAGGGCAGGGGCTGACCACGAGGTTCCGGAAAGCTGGGCTACCCCCACCTGCTTGTTTCCCCAGCTGCAAGGCCTGCTAGGGTGCACAGCAGTTGCCCCTTTTTAAAGGACATGACCTACAAATTGTAGTCACTGCTTCCTCTCACATCCCATTGGCTGGGGCTCAGTCACATGACGAGACGTGGCCACAAAGGCCTCAGGGAAATGTAGTCTTTTGCCTGGTGGCCCTCTGCCCACTGTAACTCCAGGAGTCTGCTGTTCAGAGGTCGAAGGGGGGAGGACTTATACGTGTCAGCCGCCTGGCAAGCAGCTCGCACATATCACTGCCCGCCGCGGATCCCCTGAGGGCATTTGCGTCCACCAGGAACACGTACACCTCCCGCAGTGCCCGTCCAGCCCCGCATGGCCCGGGCCCCCATTCCGTTCTTCACCTGGCCAGTCTCAGCGGAAGCCCGGTGGCCGCAGAGAATGAACCCTGTCCTCATGGTTACCCACTACTGCCGCAGCAGTGTGGGCCCTGTAAGGAAGGGGCCACATCGTTCTGTTCACTGTTGGCCCGGCTGCCAGCATTGTGGGCACCTCCTGTGATTGGGGTCTGATTCCACTCAGCTAATGCTTGTGCTTGCTTCCTCTCCAGGACACCAGGGACTTCGTGAACAGGTAACAGAAATTCCTTTCCATGGTGCACTCCAGCCCCACCCCCCTTTTCCTACACGGGACCCATTTGAAGGAATGGTGCCACCTCGGTTTATGGTGGCCGGCTGCGCTCCTGGGAAGCAAGCACACAGCCTTGGGAACTGGAGACTTGCTCTCCCAGGCAGCCAGTGCCCCGTCCTGGTCCAAGACGGGGCAGGAGCTGAGGGTGGAGACGTGCTCAGCAGACAGGAGTGTTCTGCATGCTCTGAGTCCTGGCCCAGCCGTGGGCTGCTCACTCAGCATTTTTGAGCCCTGGTTTCTGTCTGTTGATGGGGAATTGTCATATCTTTCTCTCCTGCTTCATAATTGTCGTGAGAATTGAGAAAAATGCAGGAAGAGCTAAGTAACAGGTCCATCTGTCATCTTCCCAGGTATCCACGGAAGAAGTTCTGGATTGGGAAACCCATTGCTCGGGTGGTTAAGAAAAAGACGGGGGAATTCTCAGATAAACTTACGTCCCTGCAGCGAGGCCTGAGAGAGTTCCAAGGTGAGGGCTGGGGGTGCAGTGGGGTGGGAGTTGGAGCTGGGGCTCTGCACTGAAGGAGGGTATGAGCTTCTTACTGTCATCTTTGGCCTCACTCTTGGGTCTCCTGGTTGTTTTCTGTTTTCTTCTTGGGATCTCAGGGAGGGAGGCCCGTCAGGAAATTAATCCTGTCCAAGTAGAAAACGGGCCTGTAAGTTTGCTGGGCTCAAGGGTCATTCTGTCCTTTTCTTGTCCCCAGGGAAGCTGCTAAGAGACTTGGAATATAAGACAGGTGAGTGTCCAAAGGGCTGGTCCCAGTTCCCCTCCCGTGAGGAAGACTGTCCCCACAGAGGCTCCCCTGCTGCCCCTGGGGAGCCCGTTCTCTAACACGGCTGAGATTTCCCAGCTGCGAGTCTGCAGCTCCCTCCGTGGGTCTCTGGTCTGCAGCAGAGCCTCCGCTTGATCGCCTGACCCTCTCTGCACCATGTTCCCCTCTGCCTGGCCGCGTGGCCCCCGCATTCGGAGGCCGTCTGTGCAGCCGGCCCCGGCACTGTGCTCCCCTTGCCCTGCTGTCCGGTCGTGCACTGCATGGCCCTGAGGTGCCCCGTGACCAGCAGCCCTTCAATGGTGGGGAGTGGCAGCCCCGCGGGGCCCCCCGTGACGCCGTTGCTCGTTCTGTCGTCCCCACAGTCAGTGTCACGCTGGACCCGCAGTCGGCCAGTGGGTACCTGCAGCTGTCGCAGGACTGGAAGTGTGTGACCTACAGCGGCCTCTACCAGGGCACTTACCTGCACCCGCAGCAGTTCGACTGCGAGCCGGGCGTGCTGGGCAGTAAGGGCTTCACCTGGGGCAAGGTGTACTGGGAGGTGGAGGTGGACCGGGAGGGCTGGTCCGAGGAGGAGGGGGAGGAGGAGGAGGAGGGCTACGGGGACGGGGACGCGGGCTGGGAGACGGATGAGGACGAGGAGTCCCTGGGGGGGGAGGAGGAGGAGGGGGCGGGGGGGGGGGAGGAGCTTCTGGAAAGCTGCATGGTGGGGGTGGCCAGAGACTCTGTGCAGAGGAAGGGGGACCTGTCCCTGCGGCCAGAGGACGGGGTGTGGGCGCTGCGCCTCTCCTCGGCGGGCGTCTGGGCCAACACGGAGCCCGAGGCCGAGCTCTTCCCGGCGCTGCGGCCCCGGAGGGTGGGCATCGCCCTAGACTATGACGGAGGCACCGTGACGTTCACCAACGCGGAGTCACAGGAACTCATCTACACCTTCACCGCCACCTTCACGCGGCGCCTGGTGCCCTTCCTGTGGCTCAAGTGGCCTGGGACACGCCTCCTGCTGCGGCCCTGAGCCCACCGCTCGCTGCCTCCCTTCTCGGGGATTCTGGGACCGTGACAGGGAGGGGTGTCTGGCCACGGCACCTGAAGCAGGTGCACCACACACACATACACACCCCCCCTGTGGCTGTGGCCCCTTGAGGCTTGCTCGGTGCCGCTGCTCCGTCACACAGCTCCTCCCCCAGCCCCGGGGCTTCCCAAGCAGATTTCTGACCCCGGAGTCCACGAGGGCCCCTCTGCTGCCCACGGCCTTTGGCCCAGCGCTGCACACTCTTTGTTGAAAGGAGATGAGACAGCGTTTTGTCGCCCAGTCTGGCGTCCCATGCTGGCCTGCCCCTGAGGCCCCTCGCCGCCCTCCCTCCCCCGGCATCCCCCTCGCTGACATCCGCTCTGCTGCCGGCCTTCCCTGCCACCCCAACTCAGAGTGACACGCGTGAACGTGAGCAGAGCGAAAACCCACCACGGTTTCCGGGCCATTTGAATAAGCCTCCTGGAGCACCGTGGAGTCGCCAGGCCCCGAGTGGGCGCCTCGCTTCTGAGACCAGGGTCCAACGTCTGATGTTTCCACATCGAAGAAGCCAGGACCCTCGGAGCCTCTTGGGGGAGGGATCTGGAGACCCGTGGCTTTGCGGCCACACATGTGGTCCATGATGAATAAGTGACCTGAGGGTGGGGCCTTGGGAGGGGAAATTGTAGAGGGAAGTCAGAATATCCTGCTCTTGATCGGTCATCTGAAATCACCAGGGCAGATATCCGGTCCAGGAGAACCTCCCCCTCGGAAGCCCTGGCCAGTGCCTCCAGCAGGGTGGAAGCTTGGGCTCCGTTGTCCTGGGACAAGGGCGGTGGGAGAGGAGAGGTTGCCAGCGGGGCTCCCGGAGCTCGCCTGGCCTTCGTGCTGGTCTTCCTGTCGGGAGAGGCCTAGAGCGTGGCCTCATTGCGCCCACACGCCCCCTCCTCCAGCGGGACACCCATAGCCTTTGTCCGCACCCGTCCCAGGCCCAGCACCAGCATCCTGCACCCCAGCACCTCGGCCCCACGTCATCTGTAAATGTCCCTCTGATTTCTGCCTCTACTTTTGTACCCTCCACAGCACCTCCTGCAGTGCTGGGCACACAGCAGGTGGTCAATAAAGACTTGTGGAATGAACAGCCTGGGTTCATATATTTTATTATAACCTTCATGTGGCTCCATAGCGGTTGCATGGACAGCAGTGGCCCGGGGTCTCTCCTGGGACACCCTGCTGCCCCTGTGCCTGCTGTCTGCCCCCAGACAGGAGCCCCCACATCTCCCTCTCCCACTGTGCTGGCCCCATGTCGACACCAAGCATCCATGCAGCCCATGATGGCCTGTGACACAGCGACATTCCGTGGCACACCCAGAATCTTCCCTTGGAAAATGCGCGGTGCCTGCCCAGAAGGAAACGCAACCAGCCGAGCCTCCGTCCTGCCCTTGGACACACTCAGCCACCTAACCATTTCCGGTCTCTTCTTTCTGCTGGTTTTTTAATTGCCATGTTAAAGATAGAAAAGGAAGAATTACATAAAGCCCTTTCAAAATCTCATTTATGACTCTTCCCCCTTTTTATTTTTCATTTGTTCTTTTTACTTTTCTTTCTAAATACAGATATGCAAAGTGTGTCAATTATTAGAAATAAGACGTTATAGGGCGCCTGGGTGGCTCAGTTGGTTAAGCGACTGCCTTCGGCTCAGGTCATGATCCTGGAGTCCCGGGATCGAGTCCCGCATTGGGCTCCCTGCTCGGCAGGGAGTCTGCTTCTCCCTCTGACCCTCTTCCCTCTCGTGCTATCTCTCATTCTTTCTCTCTCAAATAAATAAATAAAATCTTTAAAAAAAGAAGAAATAAGACGTTATTAATATAATGAGGTCAGTTAATCTACAGTCAAATCCCGAGAGATAATAATCAGTAACATATTCTTGAGAATTTACATTTATTTTGTTGATCGATGTGAATTGTTCCCTAAAATTATACTCTCTTAATCTTTTATTTATGGGAAAAATTTTAGAATTCTCAAAATGCCTTTTATCCTTTCTTGGAAAGAATTTTTATATAATGAGATTTCTGAGACTTTTTAAGGTGATCATTGTATAATTAAAATTTCCTAGTTATTAAATAGGGAACATTTGCATTTGAACAAAATATAAATGCTTTCGGGTAATGGTTTAATGAGGTTCCTGAGTGTGAAATTTCCAGAGTGAACTGTAGATGATGAAGTTTCCGCATGAAACAGCCTTTGAAAATCATAAACACGTGCACGTTATGCCACCACCTGAGGACAGAAAGTTGCCGTGTGGTACTTATTTGGCTAATTCTTTTGAACCTTTTTATTTTTTATAATCATATTTTTAAGTATTTTTTTATGTGAACGTCACCTACACGTATGGTCAGATCTACGCAGTGTTTATCACGGAGGGAGAAAAGAGCAGCCCCCTCCCTCTCCCAGGGCGCCTCTTGGCGGACCATTTCCTCGACCGCGCTGGTGTGGGACCCTGTCCTCTGATCCCCCAGCAGCCGAGGCTCTGGGCCCGGCCCCGGCCCCGTCCCCGAGCGCACGCGCCCCACCTGTCGGTCCCGGCGGCCGAGCCAGAGCTCGGCGCGCCCACGGCTGTGTCTGCAGAAGCTGTCTGTGGGGACAGCCTGCGCTTCCTGGACTGGGGAATTGCCTTTTTCTGCCCTTTGGCTTCATTGCCTACGTCCGTCTTAGTAATCAAAGCCCGGCGTCCTCACCCATTGTCAGCATCCGTCGGGATGGCGGGTCGTCAGGGGCTCCGTCGTGTTGTCCCGCAGCCTGCGGCCCGGCCTGTGCACAGCTCTCCGGGGCTCGGGGGTAGTGGCTTGGGTTGCTGCTTCCTGACCCCGTGTTTCCTGTGTCCCTGACCCTCTTCTTAGCTGACATCCTCGTCCTGGCCCAGTAGCTTCCTGAGGGCGCCTGTAGGTTGCTGTTTTGAAATGCTGAGTATCGGCAGGTTCACGGCCCCTCGGTTCTGGGAACGTTACCGAGTTATTTCTTGATGGTTGCTGTCTCCTTCGTGGTCTCCAGCCTTCGCAGAGCTCCTGCCCGGGTTACTGAGAGGCCGGGGCAGGCCAGGATGTTTCCGGGCTAGGGCAGCGGTGAGGCACGCGTGCAGGTTATATTAGGGCGACACGCAGGGAACTGGCATAGGACGGTGACGGGCGGTGAGCCGCTGTCCGCTTTCCGGGTCAGCCAGGACTGCTCCGAGGAGGACAGTCTGGGATCGCACCGGCCAGGGTCACAGGCAGGGACAGGCTGGGCCGGAACGCCCTCATGTCTGCAGTGCAGTGGGCAGAGGGGCGGGAGAGCAGGGCAGGGGTGGGCACAGGCGAACCCTGTGGGCCTCGTGGACCATACGGCAGGGTCCGGGGTTTCTCCCGAGTGCAGTGCGGTGGGGGAAGGGGCGGGAGAGCAGCGGAGGGGTCGGCGGCCTCGTGGACCGCGCTGCAGGGTCCCAGGTTTCTCCCGAGGGCAGTGCAGTGGGCAGAGGAGCGGGAGAGCAGCCGAGGGGTCGGCGGCCTCGTGGACCGCCCTGCAGGGTCCCGGGTTTCTCCCGAGGGCAGTGCGGTGGGGGAAGGGGCGGGAGAGCAGCCGAGGGGTCGGCGGCCTTGTGGACCGCGCTGGAGGGTCCCGGGTTTCTCCCGAGGTCGTTGGGAAGCTGCTCAAGCCTTACAGGCAGAGGAGTAGTGGTTCGACTCAGACACCAGTATGCTGCACCTCGTATTGACCAGGTACTGTTCTTCATTGGGATGCTTCCAGTCTTCAAGGAGCTCATTCTACAACAGACGCAAAGTTACGCATGACAGGCTCCTGGGAGCCTCGGGGGTTGAGCATCGAACTCTTGATTTCGGCTCAGGTCGTGATCTCAGGATCGTGGGATCCATCAGTGCCTTGGGCTCCACCCTCAGTGGGGGGGGGGGTGCTGCGTCTCTCTCTCCCTCTGCCCCTCCCCCGTTCATGCTCTCTCTCAAATAAATTAACAAATCTTAAAAAATAAATAAGCAAATAATAAAAATAAGCATGGCAAATACAAAACATAGCGTATGTTAGAAAATAAGCACAATGGACCAAAAACACTACGGTTGCTTTTTGAAACATCTTTGTGCAGAGAAATGAGGAAGCAGGGAGTCCTGGAGAGGAGACGTTTGTGGTGAATCCGCCGAGTGATGATAGTGTAGACTGTGGTGGTAGGAGGAGCGGGTTCCAGGCGGTGAACACGACTTGCTGCAGGCTGGCGGCCCCTGGGTTTGGGGTCCAGGCGCGGGCAGCTACGCGTAGAGGCTTTGGAGGCCGCAGTGGCAGGATCGGGCTCGCGTCTTGCTCGTGTTCCGTCCGAGACGTCTGTCGGGCATCCGAATGGAGAAGTCACGCAGGGAAAGGGCTCTCAGAGGACCGAAGCCACAGACTTGGGAGTCAGAAACACACAGGTGCCCTGGGCAGGTGTGAAGCTCGACACTAGGATGGGGTCGTGCTGACCCCTGGGCGCTCGGGCATCTGTCCACGGGCCAGAAGTGAGCAGCAGCGGGTTAGGAAGAGGTGCAGCGGAGGAGGACATGTACTCAAGAGCTGGGGGGGGGCGCCCCCGAGCGGTCTCGGAGTTTGCATCGGAGCTGGGGCTCCCCGCCTCGCCCCTGCAGCGCAGTGATGCTTCGCCGCCCCGCGGGGTTTGCTGAGCCCCGCACGCATCTTTGTAAATAGTCCCTCCACTGAGCTCCCCTCAGTCACCCCTGTTGATAGAAGACCAGCCCCGGGCTGGGGTGACGGAGGAACGGAGAGGGGGCGAGGTTGCGGCTGCTGCAACCAGGGGCTGGCCTGTGACACGCGCATTTCCAGGACAGGAACGGAGAAGGCCCTCGGCACCTGGCTTGTGCTGTTCGCATTAAATTCCAGGCCCTTGGCCCTCCTGCGGAGGGGTAAGATGCTGATGATTCAGGTAGTCTTCTAAGGGCTGTGATAAGAGAAAAAGAGGAGCGGGCGCCTGG